GTTAACTTTAAGTTAACTCCCAAAGTAGTTTTATAATACCCGCCCTCAGTCGGATAGTGATCAGTTGTAGCAATGGCAGATGTGGAACTGAGACAGATTTAACACTACAACCAGCGTTGATCAACACATTGTTCGTAATTACAAAGGATTATTCCGGTTTGAAGAGGAAAATGTGCAATACCTTGCCAACAGATTTTAGGGAATAAATCCTGAAACTTGAGAAGGTGCGTTATCCAACCGTCCTAAAATGCAGATATGTTTACGCTATCTCAGTGACCCAGGGTATCAGGAAGGCATTGATCAAGAACTGGTTATAAGTCAAGCAGTATCTCGTATAGTGACTGCCGTAATTGACAGCATAGTAGCGCAATCAAATTAAGCTACATCCTCAATCAATCTAGTAGCGAAGTGGCACTTCAGCACGCGTGCTGGGAAATTGATACCCATCCTCAATGCTGTCAATTTCAGTCTGCTCTGCGTGTAGTACCGTCCCGAACCGTGCGTTCGGTATTTTGATCTGAGTTCTTGGAGCATAAATTTACCGTTCGTTTATTTAAAAAGTGTACTCGGTGCAGGCTCATTCACGTTCGTTTATTAAAATTTCGAGCCCTCTGATACAGCGTTTAACTGCTCTGTGCGCTCGCTGGTCACGTGATTACAGCTCCGCTCTGCTCTTCGAGCAAAATACCGAACGCAAGGATATCCTGGTCGGGGATTCTAAAATCACGATTCGACATACGATTCGACAACGAGACGATTTTTCCGACGATTCTAGGTTAGAAATCTCATTGGAATTATACCTTTCGACACGACAAGGCCGGTATCGTTGTCGAGTCGTGTGTCGAATCGTGATTTTAGAATCTCGGCCCTGAATTATTTTTTATCGTACTGCGCATGACACAAGTCAGCACGCGTCGAAAAAAGTTGCAGCTTGCAAGCTTGCACTTCGGAGTCGGCGTGCATGCTAGCACGGAATTGAATTGAGGATGCCAACGTTAAACAACATTGTCCTAGCATGCGTGCCGAAGTGCCACTTCGCTACCAGATTCATTGAGGATGAGCCTTTTACTGGATAAAGTTTCCGTCTACCAACAATGAAGTTATGGATGCCAATCGCCATGGTGATGAGTATGTCAATCGAAAAGGTTATCCTACACTGAATGTGCAAGCCACTCGTGATGCAAGAGAAACGTTCGTGGAACCTGTCGCGGCACATATAAAGCCAACATGCCAACAACCATTCACTTATTCTTAGAGGATGTCCTTGCAAGTATAAGGTAATCATTATGAATATGAAAAAAAAAGGAAATGCTTATGCTCCTACCTTTTTCTTCGACTCAAAACCTTATACTTCTACCTTATACTTACAAGGATATCCTTCAGTTTTATGAATACGGCCTTGTTGTGATCTCGATTCATTGGAAAATTATTCTGGAGCAATCAAGAGTACCAGTTCTCCATCCACTGGAAAATTGCTCTAGGAGGAATCAATAACCAATCTCCAAATTACCTGCTCTCGATTCATTGGAAAATTGCTCTAGTGCAATTATAAGTCGGTAATAATCCAAATTATGAATTTATCACGATCTTGATTCACTGGGAAAATGTTTGTGATCTCGTTTCATTATTGGAAAATTGTGTGCCAGTTCTCTATTAACTGGAAAATTACTCTAGGAGCAATCAATAACCAATATTAGAGGCGATTTCGCCTCAGTTTGGTACCCCAGTTTGGTCTGTCGAACAGGTACCATTCAATTTCGGATGGGTGAATGATGCTGTCGTCACATCAACTTTGGTAGGCCGTTTGGTCTGTCAGATGCTATACCGCGGTTTGACTGGGTAGTGGAGGTTTGGTAGCTTTCTGTTACTTTTTCTCTCATATCTAAATAAACATGTCAAAGTCAAAATGTACCAAACGCCCTATCCACTGAATTCGGATGAGATTGTTGAGCTACGTCACTTACGTACCTATTGGTTAACCATTCACTTACCAAACAGCAGATGAAAATCTGGGGCGAAATCGCCTTAGTTCAAATAACCTGCTCTCAATTGATTGGAAAATTGCTCTGGTGCAATCAAGAGTCGGTAATCCAAATTAAATTAATAATACAAATTATGATTTTCTCTGGATCTTGATTCACTGGGAAAATGTTTGTGGTCTAGATTAATTGGAGAATTACTCTAGAGCAATCAAGAGTACCCACTGGAAAATTGCTCTAGGAGCAATCAATAACCAATAGTCCAAATTATCTGCTCTCGATTCAATGGAAAATTGCTCTAGTGCAATCAAAAGTCGGTAATAATCCAAATTATGATTTTCTCTGGATAATGATTCACTGGGAAAATGTTAGTGGTCTCGATTCATTGGAAAATTCCTCTAGAGCAATAAAGAGTACCAGTTTTCCATTCACTGGAAAATTGCTCTAGGAGCAATCAGTAACCAATAATAGTCCAAATTACCTGCTCGCGATTGATTCGAAAATTGCTCTGGTGCAATCAAGAGTCGGTGCTAATCAAATTGATTTTCTCTGGATCTTGATTCACTGGGAAAATGTTTGTGCTCTTGATCTTCTTTCCTGGGGTTCTTGGGTTCTGCTCCTAATAGGGCAATTTGCCAGCACATTTGATTGTGTTCAGAAAGCCGTCTGGCTCAGGGCCATGTTCCGAACACAGATTCGTTTCAATCTCTTCTATCTTCAATTTTTCTTTATGTGAAATAAGGCACATCCAGGATTTGCCTAGATCAATCGCTGAAACCGGATATAACCTTTTTCTGTCAAAACAAACAGCGTTTTCACGAGTCTCAGACTCTGGCCGCCATTTTGCCAACGTAACCACGCGTGAACCTTCTGTTTATCTATGAATCTAAGCCGGCTTAGTCAAAAAGACGCAAACAAATCCACGGATGGCGATGAATGTCGGTTTTTACTCGCGGAGGTGAGCCAAAATTTGGTCTCTACACGCCTCTAGTGCACCACCCGGTGAAGCTCTTTGAGCTCCTTAAACCAACCGCCCACACTCTGGCGAGGACAAAACGAGACTCCGGAGAAAATTGCCCTGTTGCAGTCAAGAGTACCGTCGGTAATCATCCATGTTGCCACATGTATTCCGCAAACGACACCGCCTTCTTGCGGTAGATTTGTGAACTACTCTTTCCATTTGTCAAGCTTATCGGATGTTTATTGCAATTCAGCAATAAATTGATATAAATAGTTGGGCCAAGCCAAGCAACAGGCAGACTTAAACCAGTGCAACCTCTCGTTGGGAAAGCCCCTCTGGAATTAAGTCTCCTCAGTGCAAGTTCCTCTCGTTGGGAAAGCCCCTCTGGGTATCTTCAGCCTTATCGTTGTTTAGCGCAATTACCTCTCGTTGGAAAAGCCCCTCTGGACAATGCATAAGGGTGACGAAAACTAATCGACAGTCCCCCAAGCAGCGTTGACGTGTGGCTCCCTATACGGACCCCAGTGTTCGAAGGGTCATGCACCCTATAGGACTAGTGTATGTGTAAGGGCATATTAGGGAAAATATATATCTACACTTTTATACAACTTGAGCGAGTTTCTCGTTTCTCTCCATCGACCCCCAAAGCTACAACCCTCCATGTCACTCCCGTAAAGCGGGCAGTTGTGACAATATATATTTATTTTTGGCCCAAACGGCGCTTCATAGAAAAGAGCTAGTCCAAGCTAACCCAAACTAACCCGTCCTCATAGCACGTCTAATTGCTAGTCTATGTTAGTATTACACGAGAAGAGCTATTCTAAATTAACTCGTCCTCTTAATGGATGCTATTCTTTGTATGTTGGTAATTTAGACGCAACGTCCGCAACGAGCTAATCCAAACTAACCTGTCTTCGTAATGTATGCTATTCTTTGTATAGTGGTATTTTAAACGACAAGAGCTGATCCATGGATTGAAGTGAAACTATCCCGTCCTCCTAATAATCTAAAAAAAAAAATAAAAAAAATAAAAACCCAACGGGTTAGTTTCAATTCAATCCTTGGATTAGCTCTTGTTGTTTAAAATACCACTATACAAAGACTAGCATACATTATACGAAGACGGGTTAGTTTGGATTAGCTCGTTGCGGACGTTGCGTCTAAATTACCAACATACAATAGAATAGCATCCATTACAAGGACGAGTTAATTTAGAATAGCTCTTCTCGTGTAATACTAACATATAAAAACTAGCAATTAGACGTGCTATGAGGACGGGTTAGTTTGGTTTAGCTTGGACTAGCTTTTTTCTATGAAGCGCCGTTTGGGCAAAAAATAAATATATATTGTCACAACTGCCCGCTTTACGGGAGTGATATAGAGGGTTACAAAAAGACTGGTTAGTTTAGATTAGCTCTTTTCGTTTAAAATGCCAACATACAGAGACAAGTACTCATATATTTGGTAACGGTGTCTTGAGCTCTTTCCTACAACTATACTCTGGAAATGCTACCAGTGTGTATCTCAAAAATATTAGGTGTTGCTGGGGTGAAAGTTGAAGCAGAATGAGGCCGGACCATAGCAACACAAGCAGAACATGTTTGAGCGATCCTGCTTCTTATGTGTTCCCAAGCCAAGGGTGATAATACGAACCATCATAATGAAAATCCCTGTATCTTGAAAATAGTACATGTTGCCGGGGTCAGATTTGAAGCAGGACGAGGCAGGACCATAGCAACACAAGCAGAAACATGTTTGAGCGATCTTGCTTTTAGTGTGATGCTAAGGGTGAAGTTAGCAACCAAAATAAAAATCGCTGTATCTCGAAAATAGTACGTGTTGTCGAGGTCAGATTTGAAGTAGGAGGCAGGACCATAGCAGCACAAGCAGGAATATGTTTTAGCGATCCTATTTCGAATGTGTTGCTAACTTCTCCGACATCTCGTCAAGTAGGCCTGTCTATTTTATCGGGACATGTGTAGGAACTTACCTTTAGATGTGAACAAATTTAGGCATTACTATTACCGCATTGTATTTCATTTCCACTAACTTTTTTCTAGTTACGTACAACTACTAATGGCAATAATGACCAACAACCCGCGCTGCGTCAGTTTTCAGCAGGATTCCATCTAAATCCGCCACCTCCGTTGCCTTTCCTGCAAAGTTTTCCGATAAATTCGCAATTTTTCTCAGATGTCAAAGACTCGCTCCGGTCCGGATACCTATTTCCACGTCCGAAATCTTTTGGGCCACCATCGCTAAGAAATTTATTCACTCCGACTACTTCAAGGGAAAGACCGGAGACTGAGGGACAACAAGAAGAATATAGGTATGGAATTATATAATTTTGTAATTTGAATAAATACATATTTTTGTTTTATTCTATAGAAAATACCTCCAAGAAGAAGCTGAAGATCTTGAAAAAGAAAGTCACAACAATGATATAACAACGGATTTTTCTAGTTTTGAATCGACTTCTCTTCAGCCCACTCAGAATACTTTTGTAAGGCTCAATATACAGGGAAAGGACTACAGTTATTCTACATAGATGATGTTATTTTATGCAAAGTAGTTCAAAGAATATAGATACCTTATAGTTATATAAGTATAACAAGTTTTATTTTATTCAAATTTAGACAAAATGTAAAGAAACACCAAAGAAGCAATAGTAAATTATGTAAATCTCTAATTATTGTTACATATATAGGTAGTAATAAAAGCATGAAATAATAAATACAAGGATGTATCTACTCACATTATATACTTAGTTGTTTTGTCCTATTCCTAACGCCCTCAGAAAAGGCTTCACTTTTTTTAGAAGATCAGGATAGGACTTTCAAGAGAAGATATAGGTAGTCTATAATAAAGCCTTAAACGAAGTACAAATAGGAATATCATATTCTGTTCTTAAGAAAGATGCAGTTGAACATCAAGCTCATCAGCAAAATATTTCCTTCGTCTTTCTGTTAGAAATGAAATCTGACCAGAGTTGGAGCATCAGTGTCTACGTAGTATGTCAAGTCTATTCTATTAGGTCCATATTCTCCGTAGTACATAAAACCTGGCTTAGTGGAAACGCTTGACTTTTTGTGTGACAAAGCCGAGCTTTTCCACTAAGCCAGGCTTTATGAACTACGGAGAAAATGGCCCTTACCGCCATTTGCACCGCTACAACTTAAGGGATATTTATTCCAAGTGAAGCTTTGAATGTGTCTCTTGTAGAAACAAAAGTCACATTCAAAGCTCCACGTAGATTCAATATCCCTTAAGCGGTAGTTAAGTGATAGCCGTGCAAATGGCCATTAGAGACCTCTGAACCGTGCAGGCGATGTTGTGTCATTTATCATAACAATTAGTCTACAGAATGGCTCTGTGTATTTTTTTAACGCTAATCAAGAGAGTATGCAATAAGACTTTAGTATCTTAAAATTATTACTATTTCCGTTGCAAACCAGCCATTTTATGAAAATCCACCTTCTAATTATCCAATAAAACAATAAATTAAATTAACTGTACCAATTTATATTGTCTTAATAGGTATATCAAAATAAAACAAATAGAAAAAGTAAACGAATCCTCCACAGTCCACGCGAAACAAAAAGTCACTATTACAACACCCTAGACAAAAAAAGACAACTAGATATTTATTTTAAACATAATTTAATTTAAAAACAAAAGGGGAAATTAAATTATAATTATTCTACTAGAAATTTTAAATATTATTATACAGAGGTCTTTCAAACGCCCAAACAAAAATTTGAATACGAGAGGGGATCAGGCAACCCTCAACGTTATTATTTGTAATATTTTTGAGGTCCCGGAAAACTCCAAAATCCACAAAGGAAAATTGTATTTAAATTATGTAACCACAAGCAGCAAGAGAGAGAGAGAGAGTTTTTTTTTTAATTGTATGTATTTACGTTTGTAAGTATAAAAACTGTTACAGAGATTTTTGCACAATATACATACATAAATATTCAGCTAATATTTAAATATTTTTTCAGAAAATTTCAAAAATAACATGATTATTAGTAGATAAATCCCATTTCTTAACCATTTAACAGGACGACACAGATTTTTTTTAAAAAATTTTCATGCCGACTGATATTGGGTTAACTAACAAATTATCACTTGAAAATCACTAACAAAAACAAATCCCACTAGAAAAAATAAAGACAAATATTGTTTCTGAGGGCAACGCCTGGTCACCTTAACAACATTGCCCTGTAATTAATAAAACCTACTGAAATGTATTACAACGTATTGTTCTGATTAAGATGACATAAGTTATTAAAAATCCAAACAAAATATTGAAAAATGTCTTTAATTACACTGAACTATTTAAAAAGAAAAAACAACATAAGTAATAATAATAATTCAATCACTAGCTGAACCACAAAAACCTACAATATTTAATTTAACTAACAATATTTTATTTATAGTAAGAATAAAAGTAGTGAATTATGTATAGATAGCCTTACTCTGAGGTCACATTATGAGGCAAATCCGGGACCTTAGGTCTGGCTGAACAGGGACAAGAAAAAGTTTTTCGCTTCTCCAGCAATTTCATTATAGGTTCTGCAGAAACTTCTTCCCCTCCTACATTGATTTCTGGTGAAAAGCCAGGAACGAGAAATCCAAACACTGTCCTCGACAACCACAATATTGTATATTAATTAAAAAAAAAAAATTCTACTAAATATTACATTAAAACTGTTTTTTTTTTTGTTTCTGGCTAGGGAAAAATTGTGGCCAAAGGACACCAGCTTACACAGTCCGAGAGCATTAGAAGCGAGAGACAAAATGTACATAATAATAATAATAATAATTAATTGTTTGACGATACAAAATGCTGAATGGCATGGCCATCCCCCTGTTGCTGATGTTTGTTTTAAAAAATGTGTTTTGTATTAATTTGAAAAAAAAAATTGATTTGCTTGTTGTTTTTTTTTTTGTATTTTTTGTTTTGTTTCATCTAATTAGGTGAAGTGCTGATTCGGGGGGCAGGGCCATCACATAGCATATTTGCGGGTCCACTCGCGCGCTAACTCATTGTATTTTTCCCGGTCTGTTTTGTATATCCTAGCAATTTCTGGAACTAATGGATCGTCTGGGTTTGGATCACACAGCAGTGAGCAGATTGACAACAGTACTGGAAAAAATTAAACTGGATTAATCATCTCATAAAATTTGGTGTAATTTAGAATTTTTATTGGATCAATTCCGAGGAGTATGACACTCTGTGAAATTGTGTACAATATTCGTTTTTTTATGGATTAGTTAGAATTATCAAATATTAGTAATATTTGTAGGTATTACTTAATATTCCTGATAATAGTGTTTGGTATTAGTTATTAGTTGGTATTATGGGTATTTTCAAGTATTAGTAATATTTGCAGGTATCAGTAGGTATTAGTTGGTATTATCCACTGATCTAAAAAATAAATGGATAAACAATCCATACGGCTTGATTGGCAAAATTTGTGCGAAAATTTGGGGTCAATATTCTACGAACAGTTGTGCAATGGAACAGCCTAACGCCTGCGCAGTGTCTGATCTTTCGAACAACTGTTCTAAATTTTGAAATTCCTTCATTTTCATTGGCCAGATTTTGTGCACACATAATACATGTATCTACTGCGCACGCTCACAGCTGTCCCAGTCAGTTGTTTTTGTTTAGATTTTGACCTCGTAAATTAGCAGCATTAGAAGCGTTCTTTGTTTATCCATTTATTTTTGAGATCAGTGGTATTATCAGTATTAGTCGTTATTCAAGTTATAATGCCTTGGTTAGAATCAATTTGATGGAAATTCAACAAACACCCATCACTTTGAATAAGTTCACGTGACTGGAAACGTTTTCTCATTGGCTAAAGCCTATATTCACGCGCTTTACTGCCACATTAGAAATGCGAAATTTCCATTCAACCAACTTTTAGCATGGACTATACGTTTTTTCCCAAGGAGTAAACCACCCCCCCTGAATTCGTACAAACAATTCCTAAAACTACCCGCAAATTTTCCACAAATTCCTCCAAACTGTTCGCAGATTCCCTGCAAATGCCTGTTACAAATTTTAAAACACGCCCAAAATTGTTCCAAAAAAGTTCTCATACAATTTCTCCACATATTCCTCCAAATTTCCCACAAATGTATTTGAATTCCCCACAATTTTGGCAAAGTATTTCTAGGTGGTTTGTACCTTATAGGTGAATGATCAGAAAGAACTTTTAATTTTTTCCTAAATTTCATTATTTTCTTTCCAGTTGTAAAATTTCAATCCAATATTCTTTTTTGAAGCTTGATTTTTTCCAAAATGGCATTGAACCATATTTTACCTCACATATTTGTTAATTTCAATCCGATCTCAACGTAATCAGGCTGGAAATGAAGCTAATTGAAGCCTTCAGTAGTTTCTCAGCTGCAAAGCTTTAGAGCCTCTCGACTTTGATTTTTATCAAGATGAGCGCGTAAAAGCAAATTTCAATTTTTTTTCTTAAATTTCAATCCTTTCTTCATCCACTTGCAAAATTTCAAGCTAATCCTTAAAACGCTTCCTCAAAAAAAAAAAACGTCCTTCAATGTGGTTTTTTGAAGCTTGATTTTTTCCAACATGACATTGAACCACATTATACCTCACATCTTTGTCAATTTCAATCCGATCGTGACGTAATTAGGCTTGAAATGAAGCCAATTTAATCCTCTAAAAATCCTTAGTAAATAATTTCATGCTATTCAAGTTTCAAAATTTTTTTCGAGGTTTTTTTACTTTGATTTTTACCAAGGTGAACAAGGTCTATGGAAAAACCAACCCCAAAATATTAGGTATATCATCTTTATTGCTAATGGCTTTCAGAGATACAGATTTAGAGAAGGATTTGGCAACATGTAGACAAACATTTAGGATCTTTCGTACTAGATAATACAAGGGGCAAACCACCTAGGAATTCTTTGCCAAAAATGTGGGGAATTTAGAGGAATTTGTGGAAAATTTAGAGGAATTTGTGAGGAATTTAAAGGAACTCATCCGAATTTATGAGAATTTGGGGAATTTATAGGGAATTTGGAGGAATTTATGGGGAATTTGGGACAATTTGTGAGGAATTTATGAAGAATTAAAAGGCAATTGTCAAATTTGAAAAATTCAAAAGAATAATACAGTTTTTGTAGGCTTATTTTTCATGTTGTCATTTTCCACTGAAAAAATTTGAAATTTTAGGAAAATGAGCTTCTTTACCTTCCTCTTTACATGCAAAAAGTTTCAAAATTTTCCCTTCACTAGTTTTCCAGGAAATCTTTGAAATGTGTGAGACTGTATTTTCAATTAATTCAGTTATTGTAGGTTGATTTCCAAGATTTTTAATGTTGCTGTTTTCCACTGGAAAAATTTGAAATTTTGCCAAAATGAGCTTCTTACCTTCTTCCTTACATGCAAAAAATTTCAAAATTTTCCCTTTACTAGTTTTCCAAGAAAACTTTGAAATGCGTGAGACTGTATTTTCAACTAATTCAGTTTTTGTAGGTTGATTTCCAAGATTTTTTATGTTGTTATTTTTTCCTGGAAAATTTGGAAACTTTGGGAAAATGAGCTTCTCACCTTCCTCTTTACATGCAAAAAGTTTCAAAATTTTCCCTTCACTGGTTTTCCAGGAAAACTTTGAAATATGTGAGACTGTATTTTCAATTAATTCAGTTATTGTAGGTTGACTTTCAAGATTCCTCATGTCGCAATTTTCTACTGGAAAAATTTGAAATTCTGAGAAAATGAGCTTCTTACCTTCCTCTTTACATGCAAAAAGTTTTGAAATTTTCCCTTTACTAGTTTTCTAGGAAAACTTTGAAATGTGTGAGACTGTATTTTCAACTTATTCAGTTTTTGTAGGTTGATTTCCAAGATTTTTCATGTTGCTGTTGTCTACTGGAAAAAATTGGAATTTTGGGAAAATGAGCTTCTCACCTTCCTCTTTACATGCAAAAAGTTTCAAAATGTTCACTTCACTAGTTTTCCAGGAAATCTTTGAAATGTGTGAGACTGTATTTTCAATTAATTCAGTTATTGTAGGTTGATTTCCAAGATGTTTCTTGTTGCTGTATTCTACTGGAAAAATTTGGAATTTTGGGAAAATGAGCTTCTTACCTTCTTCTTTACATGCAAAAAGTTTCAAAATTTTCTCTTTACTAGTTTTCCAGGAAAACTTTGAAATGTGTGAGACTGTATTTTCAACTAACTCAGTTTTTGTAGTTGTTATTTTTCACTGGAAAAATTTGAAACTTTGGGAAAATGAGCTTCTCACCTTCCTCTTTACATGCAAAAAGTTTCAAAATTTTCTCTTTTTTAGTTTTCCAGGAAAACTTTGAAATGTGTGAGACTGTATTTTCAACTACTTAATTCAGTTTTTGTAAGTTGATTTCCAAGATTTTTCATGTTGCTGTTTTTTACTGGAAAATTTTGAAATTCTGGGAAAATGAGCTTCTCACCTTCTTCTTTACATACAAAAATTTGTGGGGTATTTGGAGAAGTTCGTGGTGTGGTATTTGGAGGAATTTGTGATGGGATATCTGGAGGAATTTGTAGGAATTTTGAGGAATTATGCGTAAAAAATTCCCCTTTGAGGAATTGGTTGCACCAATTCTGGGATGGTGGCTTACCCATTGAGATAACAAGAGTTCACCGATTGGCGATTATGCATATCCTTTGTTTTTTTCGAGGGTTTTTTATAGCATAGAAATTAGGTTGCGATGTTATACAGTTCTTTGTACTGATAAGAAATTCGGCATCCTCACATTTCTATTGATTTTAGAGACTCTGACGTCGTAGTCCTTGCCTGCATTTTCAAATCATTTTATTTTCAAAAATAAGTGTTTTATTTTTTGGAAAAAAGTATATAGATGTTATCGAGGATGTTATTAGAATCTCGATTAGAATGCGTAATACAATACTAATTTAAATTTGTTTGAAAAATGTGAAAGTCTTTTTTGGTTGAATTATTTTTATGTTATAAGGGATTATTGAATATTTGTAAGCTTTGAGTACATAATAATATATGGATTATATCAGAATTATTGAATTATAAAAATTGTAGTATTTGTAGGTATTTGTAGTGTATTATCCGTTATTTCCAGATATTATACCGTACCATTAGGTATTAGTTGATTAGTTCAAAATTTCTGATATTTGTAGGTATAGATTATCCGGGATTATCCAAAGAATGTACAGGACATTAGTAAAGTGTCACGCCCCTCGGTCAATTCTCTCCATCTCAAAACCTACTGTAAGAACCTGAGATAAGAACAACTTCCGTTTCCATTATTTTGTTATTAAAACTTATGAATTTTTAGTAGAACATTACATAGATTTAGTTCTAACCATGACCATCAACCAATGAGTTAATAAAGAGCATAATTACTAACCCTTATAATGTCCAATTTTTAAGAATAGTTAACTAGGCCAAAATCCAAACATTGTCAGCAAAAAAAATAAATTTCAATTCTATAATGACAGAAATATCATTAGTGAAGAGCTCAACTACTAATAGGGGACCTGATTGGAATCCCTGTGGGACCCCAGATGTCTGAATTATTCATTAGAAATATTATATCCAGAAACCTTAACTCTTGAGTATGGTCGATTAGTTTTGATCTTATCCAATTAAGCTGGAATGCCATATAGAGATTTCATGACTGATGTATAAGAAGAGAATAAAAAACAATATCAAATGCCGTACCTACTGAAGTTCATATAAAATGTGTAAAGTTCAGGTTTAAGGGGATAAAACTAATAATTGCGATTTATCGAAAAAAGGGTTTTTGTGAAAATATGGACATTTCCACCCTAGTCTCTAGTACCAATGGTACTCAAAGTTATAGACAGTACCAATATACATCATTTAGGGAACCTCACTTGACTTGCAAATTACTTTGAGGGTGGTTAAAGGGGGCAAAACTGATAATTGCGATTCATCAAACCATTCATCATTGATCCAAGTATATAATTAATATACATGCAGGAAAACTGAACATCCATCAATAAAATCATTCAGCTGATATTCAATATGTAGTAAATACAGGGCCAAACTTAATTTCAGCAAATTTCTCAAATAATTTAATATTGTTACTGATCTCAAAAATCAATCTTATCCCTTGTTTTGTGATTAGGGTTCACGAACGATTTCTTTCATAAATCTGAGATTAGGCAAGGAAAGAGTAAATGGCAGATTTACATCTGGCCCCATTAAATCAATAATGTCAAAATTTACTAGTTGCTCTGAAATCTTATGTAGAAATAAGAGAAGTTCTCATCTGCAGGATTACAAAAACTGAGATGAAATTGCAAAAAAATAGATAATTCTCAGTCATTGTTTTCAATCAATCAATCCAAATTTGAGAAGTACATATTTTGAATGATTAGTGATAAAATTCCTCGTAAAATTCTCACTATGACTCATGTATCCTCTAGAATCTAACTTGGTCACCTGCCAACATTTGTTACTTAATCTAGACTGGATTCCCTATTACTGAATAAATAAGGACTATAGTGTGGACTTAATGGGATAGGTATACTCAAAATTGAAGTTCATCCCAGTTTTAGCCAACAAGAAGAAAATTGAAAGAAAACCTGATTGATCCCTGGATTAAATTCTAGGAAACAAATACATAGTTGCAATGCAAACAACATATTAAATTTCACTACTTCAAATTGGGGTTTAAATTTATCTAAGTTTGATAAAAATCTTACATTATTCAGTATGACCATGACAACTGAAAAAGATACATAATTTGAACAAATTTATTATGGAATAAAAATAAACTCACAGTTGTGTAAGATCATCTGCTTGGAGTAAGATAAAAATAGCCAAACGAAAAAAAAAGCACTTAAGGCAGTAGTAGATTTGGGCTGTGGTCCGAATATAACCAGGGTTGTGGTTTCACAGTCCAAAAGTAATCAAATTACTCTGGTTCCTGGAAAAATGGTTACTTTTGGACCCTGAAATCTAGTTACCGGCAATCAAATGTTGGTTCTGTTGGTTTCATCTTTAAATTCTGTCAATTTTTTTTTATTTCATATTCGCATTCCCCAAGTAACCAGAATTTCCAGTAACCATATGTCAACCGATTTGGTTAAAAGTTTGGTTATATTCGGACCATAGCCTTTTGGGCGATTTCATCAATATGTTTTTCAAATAAAAATTCAACTCTTACCTTTTGAGATAGTTAAGGCTGGAGACCATTGAGACCTTAAAATATCAAGGCAAATACTACCATTACTATTTATATTTGGATGATAAATCCTTGTTGTGAATGCAACTTTTGGTGGCTTAAACGGATAGTCTGTGGGAAAGTGAATTGTTAGGAAAAATACACCACCTTGGTATGGACTGTCAGGCTGCAAAAAAAAATAAAACAAGTTAATAAGCAAATTTATACCCAAACAAAACATGATAAATTGTCGAGGTCAATTATTGTGGTTCAAAGAAGGAAAACACTGACATAAAATGGTTTTGTCAAGATTTTTCATATTGCATGCTTTTATCAAACATTTTCTTTCTCAGAACCGCCCTATATAACATGATAATAGTTGAGGATCAAATTATACTTACTGGTCCCATAATTGTTGCTTGCCAATGAAATACTGTAAAAATAAAGAAAAATAAAGTTAATTAAAGCTTTAATCGTTCCAAGATAAGCCAGATAGGCCTAAAGTCACAAAATAATTAACTTTGCATATTCTGAATATAAAGAATCACTTATTTGAGTGGCCTACTTAATAATTTGTCTGATTTCCTTCATATGACTTAATCTGCGTTAACAAATATTACCGTTAAGCAATCACACTATTATTGTTAACTACTAGTTAGTTAAGTAGTTGTTTTTAATCATATAGCAAAAATTAATCGGATGATACCTAAAAACAAATGAGTCATATTATTAACAACAAGTACAGAATTATTTTTCAAAACAAGCTATTATTATTATTATAACTATTAACCATTTAGTTGTATATTGGGCTTGTCCTGTGGATAAATAAATAAATGTGTAACGGTTTCGTTACAAAAATTCATCATTTTAATTATTTTAGGTCAAGTTTATGCTTATAGTAGTGCAGGTAAATATTATTATAGGAGCATTAACGCAGTGCAAGGTGCAACAGTCATCATTTCAAGTAAACAAAATTTCCAAGATTTTTTTTTTAATTGCTTTTATCTGTATGGGATTTTATTGGTAAAGGTCCGGATTCTGACGAGATTTCTCATCAGTTTATAAACGCTTGCTCCTATTTGGACTATTTTCCTTTTTTGGGTATAAACAGGGTGAAGCATGCTAGGCTAGGACAAACATAATTTGGCCAGCGTTTTTTAAGCATATTTTCCAACTTGTTGGGTATTTTGATCCCTTGGCCAGGGTGAGTTATACTGTAGGCAAGTGAAATTTTAAATTATTATGGGGGTTGAGTCATATATTTTCTGGCAATTCTAATATTAGCGTATTTGTTGGGGTTTATTTGGAAAATTACAGCCTTAGATATCTACAAAAAAAAAACACCCATGCGGCATAAAATCAATTTCAATATATTTTATTCCCTCAAAGAGGGTGAAATGCATTCTATCAAGTGATAACACCATTTTACCAAAGGTCTTGCCAAAGGTCATAATCTTGGAATCTAAAAATTACATTTCCTTTCATGGAATTTGAGTTTTAAAGACGTGAATGTGTAATACTTCAATCTTTAAGTTTGCTTACTACTGCAATGGGTTGGTTACTGGGAAATAAATGTAGTAGAGGAGACTCTTTATGAGATGAGAAGTTTTTGCCTCATTGACAATAAGCTTATCTCTACCAGATGTTACAATAAATAGGTATATACCAATTGTTTGCATACTATAAAAATAATTTAATGTTTCCAGGTAAAAAATAATTTTTCAATTTTTTTGTGAAAAGAGTGAAAAAGCAAGTCAAAATTTGTTCATTTGATCTCACATCCCCTATTAGACCTTTTATCCTCTAGCCATTATTTGGTTATATTGTCTCCAATACCAAAAGCTTTTACCTCAAGTTCATTCTATGTTATTTATTTTCAGTTTTTACACAAAAGTGTTTTTGGCTTTATTTTTTTATGAAATAAACATTTAAATGCAAATTTTAGTGAGATTATAACAGGCAGTTGAACGCCTGAATCAGATCGAAGAATATTCTACCAACACTACCAACTGAGAGGAGTCCAAACCACTGGATGTAAAATTCAGTAATTCGAAGGAAGCTATGGCTTGTTGGAAAAGATAAAATGCATTTTAATTTTCACTCATTAATTTCTTGTTATTCAGATATTCCAAACAATCCAACAATGCTATTCCAAAAATTTTGGAGCATGGTCATGTAAATAATAAGCAATTTATTGTTTTGTAAGTTTCTCAAGGAATTTCTACTCGGATTTCTAGGTATCCATAGTACATTACAATTAATTAAATTTAATGTATTATTGCATGTATTTAAATTTAGAAATATACTTAGTAGGTAGAAGGTTATGTAGTCAAAGACATGCTTGTTTGATTTAAAATATAAAAACCTTCCCTAAAATAGTAAAATAATATTAAATGAAATAATTGAATCTGAAAGTTTCCAGTTTTAGATTGTTTCTGATAGGTAAACCACTAGTGGAAATCATTGTAACTTTTCTTGGAAATCACATAGTAATCAATAAGGAATCCTTGGAAATCACTCGGGAGTCCCTGGGATTAACCTGGAAATCCCTAGGACTCTATGGGAATCACATAGGAATCCATTGGCAATCGCTGAGAATCATGATAGCAATCGCTGGGAATATCATCTCATTCTAACCCAGAAATCGCATATCATACATTTTAAACGATACAGCATACTGGTCAGTTGCGTATTGCTTTTAAGTTTTAGGCAACATGGCTAGACAATTTAAAATGAATTTGATATCCCAACGAGTTTCCCAATAACTGAACCCGAAGAGTTTAGAACTTGAAGAAGAAGAATGAGATGAAGATTAGCTCTGTTCTCACAGAAATCACAAAGCAGTCAGAGCGTTTTTGATTGGTGCAAATCGCCAACAACCAGTTTTTCTGACTATTTTCAACCACTGAAATTCGCTCTGACTGGTTTGTGATTTCTGTGGGAACAGACCTAAAGTATGACAATATTGTAGATCATAAAAATGAAAACATGAATCTTGAAACCTCTCTCGAATCTGATTTTCCAAAAGAAGACACAGAATTTCTTTACACATCAGGGTTTAGCAATTGCGATTCACTACAATTAAGAGATTTGTTCAGGGCTCAATTTTAATTTGGTTATTTTCAGAGAAGCAGGGACGTTTGTCGATCGAGTATTAAGAGCTATGGGAATGTCCTTGGGAAGGTCCCTGAGAAAGACACAAAAGAAAAAGTCGGGAATCCAAGGCAATAAGAACTTGAAAAGGGGGAGTAGAATAAATACTAGGCAGGGCGAGAAACAGAGACCATAGCACATCTGAATCAGAATCAGAAATAAGTTTGTTGAGTGAAACCCTAACTGAAGATGTCTCTGATTCAGATGAACATCCGAGTGAAATCGAACAAATATCCATTATTTGCCAACTTTTGAAAGAGTTTCAAATACAGAAAGTGCCAATTTTTCAGTGAAAACATGTTTTTTTAAGAGAAAAGACCATGGGCTGATTTGAGGAATTGCATAGTAGGTTATGGGCCCAGAATTATCTGTTCAAATCATTGCAACAAGAATATCTTTTGAGAAGTCTTACTTGGAAAAGACTGTTTATTTTGGTGATATCAATGCAAATTTAAAAAATAAGACATCATTTACGTAATAAAATCAGCTGGAAATTCTTCACATTTTTTTTAACCGGTGTTCTTAACTTGGGCGGACAGTATCCCAAGCATTCTTAAATGTTCCTGAAAGTTTGGAAGTGTTCTGGTCTGTTCTAGAATGTTGCTTTAATTCTAATTTGATTCTAAAATGTTCTGTAGCGTTTCATAATGTTCTTGAAAGTTCCAATATGTCTCAAACTAATGCAGGAGGATTGAAAATTGAATTGAAAGTCTTCTGAAGCTTATCAGAGTTCTAAATGAATTCTAGAGTGCTCTCAGATTCTAAATTGGTTCTAAAGTGTTCTGTAACGTTTTACAATGCTCTTAAACATTCTAATTTGTCTCAAACAAATGCAGGAGGATTGAAAATTGAATAGAAAGTCTTCTGAAGCTTATCAATGTTCTAAATTGCTCTAGAGCGTCTTGAAATGCTTTAAAATATTCTAACTTGGCGCTATCAAAATGCTTTCCAAAGTTTTTATTTGGTTCTTAATGATTTTGAAGCACTAGGATGTTCCAGAAGTTATCAGAAATCTTTTAAATGTTCGTAAGCGCTCTGAATATCCACCAAAAACATCAAAAATCCAATTCTCTATCTGCTATAATAGGTACAATTAGCCAGATTTTTGCCAACCCTGACATGTATTCAAGAAAGCCCCTTTTTCAAGGGAGATATTTAAACTAAAGCACAAAGGCAATGGATACTTAATATTGTTTCATACTTATCCAAGTAAATTGATTGTCAGATTGTGAGTTCCAGTAAAAGGGGAAGGGGTAAGAATGATGATGAAGGTATGGAATCTAGGACAGTATCTATTGATGATGATAATGATCTATATGATTGAAACATGTACTTACGAACATGCTGAATATAAAGTCCTTGAATGAAAGGAGAATTAATTTTGATAAAGTATTTATTTATAAGTACTTAATAACAATATAGATTGTAGTGACCTCCTGCATTTTGTTCAAATTCATACTCCTCCTAGATCACTTAGAGTTGTGAATACATTTAGTATTGAAAACCATCGCACCAATTATGGTTAACGCAAATGAATTGAGAATTGAATTGTTTAACACCTCCTTGTACTTCCTTGGGAAGGTGCTTAATAATCAATAGATTAGGCACCTAACCTACATATTTAAGTGATTTGCTGTTCCATTGTTGTTTTTATGATTGGTGTAAATGTAGTTTGTATTTTATAATCTGTTTGGCATTTATGTATTGACTTATTTTTTGTAAAATTGGGATATTCCCGTTGATAAATAAATAAATAGATAAGTAGATATTTAGTTTGTTCATGGGTTATGATGGGAAGGAGAAAAGAAACCACACTTATCTTACAGCGACGTTTGGTATATTCTTATATGCTTTTTCAAATCCTGAAAGAAAACGTCGCCGTAAGATATGTCGTTGTTTCTTTACTTCTTCCCATAACCCACGAACAAACTAAATAACAATGATCCAGGGAAATGAATATTTGTTCAAGTATCTATTGAGTTTCCAAATAAGTTTTGACGTTTATGGCAAAAAAGTTCCAGAAGAGATTCATCCATCATCACCTTATATTGTGGTGTTGTCAATTTCAATTCAATTTCAATTTATTTAATGTTCTCAAAAGAAATACATTCTTATGAACATGAGTTCACGTAAAAGCATAAATTAAATACTAGTAAAACAAACAAAGTGCATAATATTAACAAAAAGAAAACCCAATAACCAAAAAAATAAAAAATAAAAATATTGTGGTGTTGTCAAATGTTTGTATAGTACAATTTTACACAGTCATGTAAATTCGAG